GCAATAAAAATTGTTGGGGAGAGGAGACTCTTCAGTGGAGATGCCCACAGATTGAGCAGGGAGCAACAGGGGTGTAGCATTTATAAGTCATCACCCATGAAGAGATGAGTTTTCTGGTGATGTAGTTTGACTCATCCATGATTTATGAGCACCCATGTAAGTAACCCTAATAAATGCACTAACTCATCAGGTTATACTTGGTGAGATCCTGTCTTTGGTCAATCAGAGACTTGTCTGAGGTGAACGCATATTTATTTATATATCCCTAAGAAAGTCATACAACAGAAAAAAATAAACGAAGAAACCTAGGCAGGAAGTGAAGAAGGCAGGCAGGGAGGGGGGGATGAAAAAGGGAAGAAAGGAAGGAAGGAAGGAAACCAAAACCAGAAAAGCAATGGAGACGTCTGCTTCTGTCACTCCTCTCTTGCTCATGACCTCCAAACACAAGCCATGCTGTAGCTCAGTGACTCCTGTCTGAGCCCTCAGGTCCTGCTGGCCTCTTAAGCCTCCTGTCTAGACTGCAGCACACCCGCACCTGCTGCCCAACTCTCCCCAGCCAGCCCAAATCATTTTCACCCCCATGGCCTCCACATCAAACAGCACCAAAGCCAATCAGGGTAGCTCTGACAGCTGCCCAGTTCTCCCACACTGGATCATGTGGGTCCTGCTTTCGCTCTAAGCGAATGCCAGCTCTTTCCAGACTCTTCACAGCCTCTAACTGACACCTGTCTTGCTGCCGGCTCACTCTGCTGCCCTCTGGAAATCTGACCAGGATTTGGGACAAGACCCATGTTTGGGACAAGATCAGGGTGGAGAAGCTGAACAGCAGAGCAGAGCACACAACACCACCTATCCTTCACTTCTCAGCGATGGTTCCTGTGCTTAGGAAAGTCAAGCCTGAAAATAATAATGTACATATTTTCTTAAATCCATCACACAGAACCCACAATGCAGCAGTTCCTAGTCAGGAAAATAGAAAGTAGCTGGCAGCAATTTGTGTATGCAAAGACTATTGGGCCAGGAAAAAGCGATAGACAAATGCATCACACACCAAATGCTGACTCTATCCTTCAAGTCCTGTTAGAGAAAGGAGAGCAGAGATCAGGGATGAGGGAGATGTATGGACATGTCTCCAAGAGTGAGATGCCTGTGGAGGCATGTGTGTTGTTTCTATGTAAATGGCAGTGCATTTTGGGAACGTTTCTGATGTTGTTGTTGTTTCGACTCCATTAAGCTAGGAGTCGAAACAACTTCAAACAAATGAGTTACTGCATTTCACATGACTTTCCTTTCTACTTGACTTCATCTTACCATTGTCCTATAATGCACATGGACTATCAATTCCAGCCATTAAAGAAGTAAGAGTAGTTAATCCTTTGAGAATGGAAGTTACCATTTAAAAATCTTATTTTCCTCAGCATACAAGTGTGAAGTTGTTCCTGTTGCTGAAATAAAACACTGACCAAAGTCACTTAATGAAGAAGGGGTCTACTTAGCTCCTGATGGGGAAGTAATGGCAGCAGGAGCTTGGAGGATTGACCATTAACACTAACCTTCCTGCCGGGCATTCAACTGAGTGATCCAGGGATTTTGCTTGTTTGCTGGTCTGTTTAGGTTAGTTTATTTTGACAGTGAAGATACAAGTAAAGCAGCCTTTTGTGGAGTGATGGTAAGTAGTACTGGAAGACTAGTCTGTCAGGGTACACAGAAGCCTGTGTCTGTGGCTCTTATGTGTACTTTGCAAACAGAAGGCAAGTGGGGGAAGAGTCCTATTATTGACATGTGTGTGGCCATATCAAGCAGCCAAAACCTCAAACCTATGGAAACAGCAAGCCCTTCCCCAGGTCAGGCTCCGGTTAATGGCAAGGCTTTCCCCTGGTGGGAATGTGGATGGTAAGAGTATTGCAGAGTGTTATCAACCACAGCGTCCTTTCCAATGACTGTAGTCTGAGACTGTTCTCCACAGCAGCCATTCTCCATCATGCTAATGCTGCCACCCTTTAATACAGTTTCTCACGTTGTGAGAACCAACCAGTCATTTTATAACTGTACTTTTGCTACTGTTAGGAACTGTAATGTAAATATCTGACATGCAGGATATCTGATATGCAACCCTTGTGAAAGGGCCATTAGACCCCCAATGGGGTCAGGACCCACAGGTTGAGAACCATTGCTCTACAGAGACCTCCTACTAAGAGTAGCTAGCTGTATATAATAAGCTTACCTCCTCTTTCAGCATCATATACTAAATTTACTGAGTTTCCAGGCTGCTGGTATATCTCCATTAGAGAACATAGCCCACTCCATCCTATCTTTTTAGCACATGTATCTTCATTTCCCTTGCCCCAGTCAGGTCAATTCCAAAACAGTGCAGGTCACAGCACAAGTACAGATCCTTAGACACCTCTGACATGAGTCAGTGACTTCAAATGGCCCAAGAAAGGAAATACATATCTAAGCTACCAAAAGTCAAGAGCTGTTTATACTGAAAAGGGTGAAGGGCTAAGAAACAAAACAGAATCAATAGTTCTAAAGAAACCTTCTCTAGGCTAGAAGCTAGATGCTCCCAGCTTCCATTAGCTTCTGCTCTAGTGTCTGTCATTAACTATATCTGTTTGTTAACAATGCAATCACCCAGCTTCAGCCTCTGCTACTTAATGGGTAGTTACCTTGCTTTTAAACAATGACAAGGGGACATTCATTTGAGAGAATCCCATGCTAGAGATGCCACTCTTCCTGGGACATGGAAGAGGAAAGGGGGTTCCCTGCCAGCATCCTGTGAGATCTACAGGTGCATCTCCTGCTGATGGTGGGAAGAGATTCATCTCACTGTGCAGGCTCATAGCAGGAGTGGGTGTGAGGAAAATGGGCTCAGGTTTACAGAGACATGTGCAGGAAGGATGCTGCGTCTCTGAAAGTCTCCCTGGGACACAATGGCAATGAAAATTTATCTGACTAAGCTTGTTCCACAGTGAGAACACATTTGCCCTGCCAAGAACATCAACTTCTCCACACAACACTATACCTTTCAGGTAACAAAACAGGAGGTGGGACCTGGCAGACACTAGGGTGGCACAGAGACAGATGCCATGTCTGTACACATGGAGCTGGGATGCTCCATAAAAACCCACAGGACATGCTTGAGAGGGGATCCCTCAGCAGTCTCCACCACTTTGCTTTTGCAGGGGAGGCTGAATTGGGTGGGGCCAGTGGGTGGAGAAACCAGGAGAAGTGCTCCACAGACATACTCTCCACAGCAGATGCAGGAAGAGTTCACTCCCACAGAGAAGCTGTTCCCAGAGTCCGCATACTGCTCTGTGAGAATCAGAAGGCAATCCTTGGTGTGCTCTTTGCCTCATCCCAGGCTGCTCTGCGTTAGGATGCGTAGGTTGGGGGTGACACACCCCTTCTTCAGGCATGTATCAGTAAGAGTTCCTTGACATGCCTCAGCAGCCCCAGCATCAAGGTGACATCACCTCCTGCCTGTCTCTCAACGCTGGCCATGCTAATCCAGCCCCTTAAGCTGCATTAAGTTCTCAATACTGGTTTTGGAGGGTGATTTCTCTGAAGTTCCCATCTGGTATCTTCTCTGTTTTTGAGCACTTTTTATATTTTTGACTGTGAGCCTAGCCTTTAACAGCTGAGCCGTCTCTCCAGCCCTATGAGCACTTTTTTGAGGCATGGATACTATACAGAAAGCTGTCCATGCTTATCATACACAAAGGAAAGGCATAAGAACCGGTGACACCAACAGCAAAGTCCAGGCCACACACACGCCATCACTTCACAGAGTTCCTGCTCACTTATTCATTATTTATCATCTGCTCTCCATTTATTATTTTTACAGTAAGAAAACTTAAAATAAGATCTACCTTCTCCGTAAATTTATAAGTATACACTGTGGCATTAACTAGGGCCTGATGCTGTACAATAAATCACTACAACATTTATGGGACTCAGTGTTGTATCTTCTTATTAATAATTTCCCACCTTCTTCTTCTCTGACAGAATGTCCTGTAGCTATCCAATGCCACATGGCGACTCTTAGACTCCTCGTGTAAATGGTGTGTGTCTTGCTATCTATAGCTTATTTTGCTCGGTGTAATATCCTCCACCTTTATCCGTGTTATTGCAAATAGCCGTTTCCACCTTCCTTCAGACTACACACCTCCTATTGTATAAATATATCACCTTTTCTTAAAGCATTCCAGTGTCACCATAGCCTTTTTCTTAAACCCCCCCTTTTTTTCAGACTCATTGTAGGATATGTCCCTGCACTTTAAAATGTCTTAGGTTTGTTGTTTTAGGTTGAAAAGGGAAATGAGAAGTGGGCAGTCCCTGCTTAGCTCAGAAAACAGAGAAATTGTGAGACACTGCAAAGCAGGGTTCTGTGGTAAACACGAAAAAAGAAATAAGGCAGTGACCCAAAGATATCCCTTTATTTGCCTCCAAGCATTTTGGGAATTATGGTTGGACCATCCAAGTGCACAGTCTTTCATAGCTTACAGAGCTCTAGTGCAGGGAAAACAGCTTGTGTAAATTGTGTCTTCCCGGACACTTGTCAACAGGTTGATGCCCTTCACATCTTCTCTCAATCATTGAACGCTAGTGTGCATGTGCTGATTGGGGGGGGGGGACACTATGTGTTACCTTAGGAATAATAAAATATCTGCTTACAATTCATCTAATTAAGTAGCATTTAAACATCCTTGGGAGAGATATGTGGTCCTGTTGAGCTTATACAAAAGGGTTTTATGACAGAAAATGGAAAACAATACTCTTGTGTCTAAAAACAACAACAACAAAAACCCGTTTTCCATCTCAAGGGATGCTTTAAATTCTCCCTTATGAGGGAGCATCTCCAGAGGGAAAATCATTTGCAAGGTTTTTTATTCACAATTAAAAGAAAAATAGCCAATTAGGCTGTGCAAATCACAGAGTCACAAAACTGAGACTCTTTCATAAAACATGGAGCCTGGCACTGGCAGGGTTCCACTTACCCCAGGCTTTGTCAGACAGAGAGAAACCGCCTGCGAAGACAGAATCATTCCCAGCTGAGGTTGTCATTGGTCCCTGTTCTAGCTCCACTCTGTGGCTGTAATGAAATGCTCTGACCCAAGGCAGCAGGAGAGCAATGGGCTTACTTCAGCTTCCACTTCCAGGCCACAACCCATCACTGAGGAAAATCAGAGTGGAAATCTGGAGTCAGGAACCATGGAGGAATACTGCTCGTTGGCTTGCTCTCTGGCTCAGTAAGGTTCATACACAACTAGCTTCTTTGTACAGCCCAGAACCACGTGCTCAGGGAGTGGTGCCTCTTATGGTGAGCTAGACCCACCTATATCAATCATGAAGATCAAAATAATCCCTCACAGACATGTCTACGGACCAATCCAATAAAGACAAGTACTCAACTGAGACTCTTTTTCAGGGGATTCTAAGCTGTGCTAAATTGACAGTTAATTCCAATTAGGACAGTTCTCATTCCTAATACCATGGGAGTTTCACATTCTTTACCAAGATCTCTAAGCATCTTTTTGGAAAGTTCTCTTCCATCTCAAGTGGCATCTCAGGTCAGAGGTCAGTATCAGGAACCACCATTGTAAACATGTCACATCTACAGTCCAGAGCAGAGAGAAATGAATGCATGCATGCCTACATAGTGCTCATCTTTCTCTACTCTTACACAGCCCAGGGCCCCAACCTCAGGAATGGTGTCACCCACCTTTCCACACCAGTTAAGACAATCAGACAATCGAGACCATTCCTCACTGAGACTCTTCCTGTGCGATTCTAAGTTGTTTCCAAATGACAATTAAACTAACTGTCACAGCCCCTCACCACCCCATCTCGCCTCAGGTGTCAAGTACAAAGCCTTGAGTCTACTTTGCCAAGTGTTCATGCGCTCTCTAGAAAGCTGCCCAACCAGAGAAGTCAAACAGCACTGCTGTCCCAGCAGAGGGGTGGCTGTGCTTGGTTTGGTCACTAATAACAAACTGGTTTGTTTTTTTTTCTTTAGCATGCAAGCACACAAAGTCTTCAGGCAGCAATCAAACAAACTTCTGGGCATTTCCAGCAGCATTATGAGCTTAGCATTGCTTTGTTCTCTTGATAGTGCGCAAAACCTCAGCTTGGAGCCTGGCTGAGATAAATAGTATTAAGAATTGTGCTAAAGCTCAAAGTGGCCCATTGCTAAGCTTCTCAGGAGGAGTCCTCAGCTTCACGTGAGAGAGCAAGGAGCACCAGGAAGACAGTGCCCATGGAACCACGACTCTGTAACGATGGCTCTGCCAACCAGAAACCCAGGCTAAAGAGGGCCACATGGGATGGAGCCATTGTCAGACGTCATTGAGCCTTCTTCAGAGCTGCCTCCTCTGCAAGGTGCTTCATTAACTATGGCCATGGGGACACAGTCTAGTTTTAAGGAGATTCAACTCTCCATTCATCCCTTGAAGGACATGGTCTAGTGAAGACATGGGCAAGGGAGATCCGAAAAATACATCATACATACATACATACATACATACATACATACATACACACATACATACACACATACATACATACACACATACATACATACATACATACATACATACATACATACATACAAACCAAGGCCTGTCTGAGGCTCCCCCAACTTCCCACCAGCTTCTCTCCAGAAAGTAACAGAAACTTCAAGTGTTGTGGTTCGGAGAGAATCAGCAAGGACAATAGACAGGGGCCCTCTCTCCAGTGATGCCATGTGGACAGGACCTGGAATGTCCCTCCCAGTAAGGACCGCTATGCCTGACCACAGCCCATCTAATTTAGAATGTAGAGTTTATATACCAAGGCAGCTGGATTCCTGGTGTCATTTCTGTTACTGTGATAAAATATCCTGGAAAGAAGAAATTTAGATTTTAGCTCACAGTTATAGTCCATCTTTGCAGAAAAGTCACAATGACAGGGTTTGAAGCAGTTGGTATATACCAAGGCAGCTGAATTCCTGGTTTCATTTCTGTTACTGTGATAAAATGTTCTGGCAAGAAGAAATTTATATTTTAGCTCACAGTTATAGTCCATCTTTGCAGAAAAGTCACAATGGCAGGATTTAAAACAGTTGGTCACATAACACCCACAATCAAGAGCAGAGAGAAATAAATGCACTTAGGCTACCTTACTTATTAGGGTCTCTTGTGCTGTGGTAAAACACCATGACTAAAACCAACCAGAGGAGGAAAGGATTTATTTCAGCTTACAATACTCCATTGCTGATTGATGTCAGGGCATGAACTGAATTCTGGAAACAGGAGGTGGGAACGGATATAGAGACCATGGAGGAAACGGATACAGAGACCATGGAGGAACACTGCTTGCTCAGCCTGCTTTCTTATACAGCTCAGGAATACCTGTAGTACTGACCACAGTGAGCCAGGCCTTCCCCACATCAATCATTAATCAAGAAAATGTTCCAAAGCTTGCCCACAGGCCAGTCCGGTTGGGAGTATTTTTTCAGTTGAGGTTCCTTCTTCTCATATGACTCTAGCTTGTGTCAAGTTGAAAAAGTAAAAAGAAGAAAAAAGGAAAAGAAACTAACCAGGACATATGCTTACCTATGTTCAAAGACTCCAGGACCCAAGCCTAAGGAATGGTGCTGCCCCCAGATGGCAGATCTGCCTCCCTCAGTCAACTCAGTAAAGAAAATATTTCACAGGCCAACATTCTCTACACAGCCCCTCAGTGAGATGCTCTTCCTAGATGATTCTAGGTTGTGTGCAATTAAAACTAAAACCATCACACCAGGGAAACCTTATTCCATCTGGAACATTTTTCATGAGCATGCTACTGTAGATTCCTCCAAAAGCAAGGTTGGAGCCTTGTCCCAGGGAGATCATCTTAGGAGGTAGGAGGCAGAAAAGGAGGTTGAGTGACACAGGTATGGGGACAAACGAGGACAGATGGCTCTAGCATCTATCTGTTACCTGCCTTCTCAGCCAGAGGCTCCCTGTTAACCTTCAGAGCATCCAGATGTCCTCAGGATCGAAAAGTGCAATCCTCTGAAGCACAGCTTAAGTTGAGGCACAGTCAGCACAAAGCGGGTCTCAGCTGTCACAGAACTCTCTCCTAGCTGGGCGTCGGCGGCACACGCCTTTAATCCCAGCACTCGGAAGGCAGAGGCAGGCGGATCTCTGTGAGTTCCAGGCCAGCCTGGTCTACAAAGTGAGTTCCAGGCCAGCCTCCAAAACAATACAGAGAAACACTGTCTCAAAAAAAAAAAAAAAAAAAAAAAGAAAGCAGAAAGAACTGCCTCCTGAAGCTGCTGGTGACACGAGAGGTAGCCTGGAGGATGTATGATGTGCGGGTTAGGTTTTTGTCAACTTAATACAAGCTAGCGTCATCTGGGAATAAGGAATTTCAGTTGGGGGAATTGTCTCCACCAGACCAGCCTGCGGACATGTCTGTGAGGCACTGTCTTAATGGCCAATTAAGGAAGGAGGCCCCAGCCTACTGTGGGTAGTGCCATCATTCCTCAGCTGGACCTGAGGTGCATAACTAAAAGTAGCTGAGAAGGCCAAAGGAAGCAAACCAGTAAGCAGCATTTCTCCACAGCCTCTTCTTCAGTTCCTGCCCACAGGTTCCTTCCTTGGCTCCCTTCAGCGATGACCTGTGACCTATAAGCTGAAGTAGAGTCTTTTCTTCCCCAAGTTGTTTTTGGTCATGTGTTTATCAAAGCAATGGAAAGCAAACCAGGGTAGATGACAGTGGTGATGTCTCTGTTGTTAGTATTCAATGACTGTGCCCTCATGTATTTGGTGGCCCAACTCTTGGCCACTAAGGACACCCTGAACACCACCTCCCAAAAGAACAAGGCCCCACAAGCTGGAATAAGACTTGTCACTGAAACAGTGGTGTGGACTGTTGGTGAACAGTACCATATTTACAAAGGGGATCTGACTAGCCATCCTGGTAAAGAACACTGAAGAGCTCTGGAAGTTTCTGGAGCAGAGAGAGCTTATTCAGAAGCTCACCTACAATCTAAGGACTCTGCCTCTTAGGCAGAGAACTCTCAGCACCTCCCTCCCCTCTTGGACTCTGGCAAACTGCTAATGAGGGGATTTCAAAGAAGCTCCTGCATGCTCAGTAAAATCTCACAGGCCCAGACCTCAGCAAGGTCAAGGCAGTTCAAATGTGCTAATGGGCCCAGGAGAACGTTCACAACACTAAGGGCATTCCATAGGTTGACTGGGGCTTGAAGGTCCCCTTCACCTTCAGAACCTGGCCCTGTGCTTTAAACATAAACCAAGCTTTTGGACACCGTAAAGGTACAGGTCCTGGCCTAGGCCCACACCCAGTGGACCAGGAGCTCTGCCCTGACTTATGAGAACTCAAATGTTTGACTTCCCAGGACAGTAGCAAGCCCACACCCTCAACCCTCCTCACAGCAGTATCACAAGAGCTCTCAAAAGGGAGCTCAACAGGACAAAGTAAGGGGAAATTTAAATATTAAAGGAAGTCTAGAGTGGCCTCATTACAGGTAAGTACCAGTCTTGGCTTACAGGTACCTGAATGTGTTCTGAACAATGGAGACATCTCTAACAGGTGACAAATGCCTCCAATGGGGATCCACAAGCCCGAGTCCCTTTCCCACATGGTGAAAAAGGAAGCAACAGAAGCAGAGAGAAAGGCAGTGAAGAGAGGCCTGGTGCTAAAGAGATAGAGAGAATATATTCCCCTAAATGATAGGAACCCCCTCCTACCCTGGTCACAGCCAGTAGTTGCAAGCACTCTTCATTCAAGTGTGCCACTATCCAAATATGTAGATAGCTGAAAAAAAAATCAAAGCCGATGGATCTGTAAGTCCCAAAGTACTGGCAAAGCCCCAGGTCATACGTCTATGGCCAGGCTGGCTGGCCTCTAGTGGCCAAACATGCTTGGTCCTCCAGGTTACCACACCCTGTGCACAGGAACACACAGTGACCTTCACTTATCTGCAGAATGCACAAGAGGCAAATGCATGGGTACTCATGAACTGTGTGCTGCCTGCAGAGCAGCCAGGAACAGCAGACAGGAGTGCTAAGAGAGCCCACAAGGAATGGAGAACCCACAAACTGCAACCAAAGGAGAGCTCAAATAGAGTGACTCAGAGACTACTGCAAACACAAGGGTCATTGAGAACACAGCGGCATGAGAGTGGAGGCCAATGGGGACCAGTGAGAACACTGCTGCCAAGGCATGCATGTACCCTTGCTGGACACTCAGCAGCCCTGGATAAGATTGGGACAGAGAAGTCACCACCCTACAGCTAAGGAAGAAGCTAGTGACCTGACCTAAAATGCACTGTGTCCCTTCTGCACTGGCACTGTAGACACTGTGCCTCAGACAGCCCTCCATGAAGATGTTGTGGTGGTTTGAAAAACATGGCCCCCACAGGATCATAGGGAGTGAAGCTTTTAGGGGCCCAAGCCTTGTTGGAGTAGGTGTGACTTTGTTGGAGAATTTGCATCACTAGCATGTGGGCTTTGAGGTCTCAGAAGCTCTAGCCTGGCCAAATATGTCACTGTCACTTCCTGCTGCCTGAGGGTCCAGATGTAGAACTCTCAGCTACATCTCTAGCATTATGTCTGCCTGCATGCCTCCATGCTTCCCACCATGACAATAGTGGACTAAACCTCTGAACTGTAAGCCAGCCGCAGTTCAATGTTTTAGGTCATGGTGTCTCTTCACAATAAAACACTAACCAAGACAGATGTGTGTTTCCTGGGAACTGTGGCTGCAAGAAGGATAGCTGGAGTGAGCAGAGAGGTTCCTTGAGGTGAAGGGGTAAAGCAAAAATCCTCAAGAACGTATCAGAGATGGGGGCTGGAGATGTTGCTGGGTTGGTAGAATACTTGCCCAGCATAAAAAAGCTCTGGGTTCAATCCTCAACACAACATAAACTGAGCATAGTGGTAGACAGCTATAATCCCAGCACTCAGAATCAGAAGTTCAAGGTTATCCTCAGATGCACAGTGGGCTGCCACCATCCCGGGCTACATGAAACCCTGTCACAAAAGAAAAATATGGACTGGAGAGGTCTTTTATCACTTAAGAGCACAGACTGTTCTTCCAGAGGACCAGGGTTTGATTCCCAGCATCCACATGGTGGCTTACAACCATGTGAAATTCCAGACCAAGGGGATCTGATGTCCTTGTCTAGACTCCATAATCATCAAGCAGTCGTGTGGTACATAAACACACACACACACACACACACACACACACACAACTCATATATGCATAAAATAAAACAACTTTTAAGGAAAATAATGTTTGGGAGTAGCAGAGAAACATGAGATCAGTTGGAAGTGGAATGTGAGCATTTCCCACAGCACTGGCCTGTGGCTGAGCATGGTCACTGGCTCAGTCAGGACCTGGGAAAGCAAAAGCTGTCTAAGCTGCAGAAGAAAGGATAACACTTGAGCAAGTGCAACCAGAGCCCAACCATCCCTAGGGCCTGGCTCAGGCAGCCAGAAGGACCTCCTGGGTTCAGACAAGCTAGAAAGACAAGAGTTTTGTGAGGTACAGGTTGGTTTGTGGGGACAAGGGGATACTCAGCAGCAGCTTCTGTTTCCCAGAGTAGGGTGACGACTGGGCTGCAGTTGAGAAGTGGGAACTGTCGAATTTGAAAAGAAGCAAAGAGATGTGAGGCAGCTACTGCAGGGGACAACAGAGTAAGTGGCCAGAGAACATAATGACACAGATAGATTGCTCTGATGGCCCCACTGCAGTTAGAGAACAGGACGTCATGATGAGTTTGTTATCTACACCAGCAACTACCATCATAAAGGAGTTAAAACAGCTCACTGTGAGAGGCATGGATTCAGCTGGAATTTCCAAAAACCTAATAGATAGCAGTAAAAGGAACAGGGAAGAGAA